TTCTATTTCCCTTTCTTTATTTACACTAGAGGTACCTAAATAATTCACACTGCCTCCTTTTCAGGCTGAACATTCTTCTGTTGAAGCTTGCAATGAGCAATTGCAGGAACCAGATGGACACATGAATGCAGCAGGTGGGACAGATGGCAGACCGCCCTGTCTGACGCTGGCTGCCTCGGCTTGCACTGCTTTTTCCTTCCAGGTACATTATCATCAGTGTAGCAGAAAGTGCTATGCAAGAAAGGGGGAAGGGGAGGAGGAAGAGAATCTATGTACAAAACTATGGGAATGAGTTAAATAAATAGCCAGCTGCTCACTTGCATTTTCTAACCAAATGCAGTTTCTTTAAAAAAAAATAATAATAATCATGGGATGTATCGATCTTCTCAAAGAAGCCCTCGTCCACCCTATTTATTTATTTTTTACTGGCACATGGCTTAGAAACAGGTGTGATATAGGAGGTGACAAATAAGCCATTCCTAGAGCACAAATATTCACTGAAATATACGATGCACAAACTTCTTACTGTGGTTTCCAACTCCATTTTACCATTCGCAAACCATTATGCATTTGGTGATGTCAAGTGATTTCTTGTGGAACTGTTCTGAGTTTCTGCCTGAAGCCATATTACTTGTTACATGCAGCCCCTAAATTCCCACTAAAGACAATGACAGTTTTAGGTGTACTGAATTTAGCCTAACTTCCAGCTTTGAGATACATACTATGGAAATCTTATTACAGTACAAATTTGGAGTCTTAAAATTACTGGAACCAATGGATACAGCAATACAGTACATACAAAGTATTTTCTTCATATAATGGGAAATGAACAATACGGGCATGTTTTTGTGCACAGGTGACAGAAAATTCAAACTAATTTTCTATTTGTTTTCCTTCTACTTTTCTTTCTTGCACATTCCTACACTTCAATGGTACAATCTATTTGTCCAGTCCTCAGGAGTTTATACACTTTCTGTCCTCTGAAGTGCACCATTCTTACACCAATGCAGACACTAGTTACCTTGTGTCATTAACAACACTTTCTGTATAGCAGGTTTTTAAAGTTTGGTCACTATCCCGTAATTATGATACAGTAACTTATCTCATAGGGACGCGGGTGGCGCCGTGGGTTAAACCACAGAGCCTAGGACTTGCTGATCAGAAGGTCGCGGTTCGAATCTCCGTGACAGGGTGAGCTCCTGTTTCTCAGTCCCTGCTCCTGCCAACCTAGCAGTTCGAAAGCACGTCAAAGTGCAAGTAAATAGGTACTGCTCCGGCAGGAAGGTAAACGGTGTTTCCATGCACTGCTCTGGTTCACCAGAAGCGGCTTAGTCATGCTGGCCACATGACCCGGAAGCTGTACACCGGCTCCCTCGGCCAATAAAGCGAGATGAGTGCCGCAACCCCAGAGTTGGTCATGACTGGACCTAATGGTCAGGGGTCCCTTTACCCTTTACCTTTATCTCATGCTCTAAGCTCACTAAATAAATACTAATTCTAGTTGGTCAGAACAGCAGAATAAGTGTTTGCTATAATTTGTAAGAAATATTGCAAGGTTGTGCAACTTACAGATTTAAAGAACCATTTTGGATTGCATAAAACAGGTATTTGACAGGGTTTGTCTATATTAATAATTATCTAAATTGATAATGATCCGATCTAAATTGACAAGAGCACTTGGAGAAAATGTGTACTCAAATGTTTTGCAAAAAAGGAGGAGAAAGCTGTGAGGATGGGAAGAGAAGGAAAAATCACTGAAATCCTATTTAACACTCTTGATATATTTCTGACCTGGCACACAGAAAGTTCTATTTAAGATCTCGCGAGACAGTCTGCTCTCCTAGGATTTCCAGACCGATTTTGAGGCCAGAGAGGTTAAGCAGTTTGGATAAGCTTCAGATAAGCATGCAAACTTTTATACCCTTAGGAGCACTGGTCAAGGCCCTGAAGCTTTAAGGCCCTGCTCACTTTTAATGCCAAGGCAAAAAAAGAAAGAAAGAGTTCAAGAATGATTTCATCAGCTATAACCAGTGATGATATCAGGTACCAATTACCTTTAAAATAAAACATAGGAAAGTAAAATATTTATTTGGTTAACCCAAGTTACCAATGCAATATGCAGACTTTCAAGTTACACACAACTCTTCCTAAAATAAGATGTTCAGTGTGCACATTTGTATGTGCCTGCACATACACTTTTAGAGAATTGATATGGGGTCAATTTCTGTCAACAATTTTCTCCAATCCCAATATGGTAATATAGGGTATTTTTACAGGCTATGTGATTATACTTGTTGCCCTGAGCTACTTCAGAAGGAAGGGCAGGATGTTATAAAAATAGTAACACAAATATATATTAGGGGATATCTACTTGTGATAGCAGGAGATCCTATGGTTAGAAAACCCAAATAGCAGTCATAGTGGTTGATATTCAGACTAAGTACCTGGGAATCAGAAGGGTGTGCATAAACCCATGTCATAGTCTCCAAGGTGGTACCTCGGTTT